ACTCTTTCCACTCTAATTCTTCCAAATATTCTAAATTTTCATGGGATCTCGAAAATTGAACGTTAGACACGATAAAGAGCCTCGCGTGATTGAGGTTAGGTTTAGGTTAGGTTCGAGAGACCCTGATTTAGGTTATAGAAAAGATTCTAGATAAGTTTATGGATAATTTAGAGTAGACTTAGTGTAAGAAATTTGAGTAGACTTATTATGTAGTGTAATCTATGGGAATAATACAAAGGTATCTTCATTAGATACAGCCTAAGTTAAAGTCACGGTGTAACTTGCGAATGACTTGGTACAACGCTCTCAGGCTCTGAGAAACTGATTCAAGAATATATGACTTATTTCATTGCTTGAGCTTCGATATTGTATAAAAGGGAAAGATTGCAATGGAGAATTTGAGAAGTGACTTCAGAAAATGTTGACTGAGTGTGTATGAAGTAGAGTCAAAATGACTGGTTTCAGACATTTTGTTTTTGCAGTTATCGAAAGCATGCAGCTGCTTTTGGCAAAAATAATGTTGACATTTGTTCGGATAGAAACGTAATTATGTATATCTATTTATCTTCATTATACTATATTTTAATATTATTTATGTGTACTATACTTAGATATATATATAGGTATATATTTTATGTCGGTAGTCGTAGTGTTATATATGTTTATTTTTCATTTCTTAACTAGATGAAGATAATGCGTAATTTTAAGGGGGATTATAAAATGGAAATTCTTTCCTATCCAGGAAATGTCGGAGATGGTGGCGAAGATGGCGGCGAGACCGTAGAGAAGCCGAGGAACACGTCTCATCATGGCCAGTCTGCGACTCCGTTGTTCCCTTCTTCCTTGTGCTCTGCGATCGTGCAAATAATTCATCTGCTCGACGATGCTGCTGTTTCAGACGACGGAAGTGCCGTTTACGAAGTTGCATATCAAGTAAACTAACTTATTTTTCTACTTTTATTTGAAATTCCATTGAAGGCTATTAACAAAGACGTCAGTCTTCGATAATTTATATTTCTCTGTGTATTGAAATGGGAGATTTCCGAGGAAGACTCCATCTTTGAATTATATTTCTTCTTTTATTGAAAACTCAATTGAAAATTTAATCTCTAATTAAAAATTTTTATTTCAATAAAACTTAATCAGAAGTTTTTACTAAATGCTTCATCTTTGAAATTATATTTCTTCTTTTACTGAAAACTCAATTGAAGACTCTATCTCTAATTAAAAATTTTTCTTCTGATAAAATCAGAATTGTCTGATATAATCAGAGATTTGTATTAAATGCTTAGTCTTTGAAATTATATTCCTTCTTTTATTAAAAAATTTAATTGAAGATTCAATCTCCAATTTAAAAATTTTCTTGTGATAAAACTTAACTAGAGGTTTCTATTAAATGCTTAATCTTTGAAATTATATTTCTTTTTTTATTAAAAAATTTTAATGAAGGTTCAATCTCCAATATAAAATTTTTCTTTTCATATATTTTTGTCCAACTTATATTTCTTCTTCTATTAAAACCTACTTAGAGACTTCTATCAGACACTTAACTTTGAGTTTACATATCTTCGTAAAAAAAATTATTTTGAAATCAGATAGTATATCTTTGATTCTTCTGTCAGGTGATCTGGAACTGCCTAGTGGAGGACAGTGCACTGTTCCTCCGCTATATCTTGGAACGTCTAACCAGGGAGAAGCAGGAACTGATGTTTAAGATATTGAGACACCTCATTCGCTTCGTGCCGAAATTACCTCAACAGGCTGCCTTTGCTTTGTACAATTATATCATTGGCTATGTCATGTTCTATGTTCGTACTCCGCACGAGGGTGGACAGAAATTAATCGGCACTGCTCTTTCCATATTATGGATGGTAATTACCAATGAGTCTGAAATGACATTCTTCCTATTAAAATATTCTCTTACTATACCATTACACTCATTGTACCATTCACTCTTTTGTCAAACCAACACCAAAAAGCGAAAAGTAGAAACTCATTTTAAATATAGAAAATTGTGCAAAATTTTTAAAAATTCAAAAGATAGAATCAATCACTTTGACTTCCATATAGTAGTATACTGATATGATTATGTTATTAATAATTAATTGCATTGATAAGTGGTATCAAAAAATAATGGCAATCACTTTAAGTTCCATATAATAGTATACTGGTATATTTATATTATTAATAAATAATAGTATTGATAATCAGTATCAAAGAATAGAGGCAATCACTTTGATTTTCGTATAATAGTACAATAGTATACTTGTTAAATTATATTATTAATAATTAACAGCATTGATGATCAGTATCAAAAATATAGGCAATCACTTTGACTTCTATATAATAGTATAATAGTATATTGGTATAATTATATTATAAATAATTTATTGCATTGATAATCAGTATCAAAAAACAGAGACAATCACTTTGACTTCTATATAATAGTATAATAGTATACTGGTATAATTATATTATTAACAATTAATTACATTGATAATCGGTATCAAAAAATAGAGGCAATCACTTTGATTTTCATATAATAATACAATAGTATACTTGTTAAATTATATTATTAATAATTAATATTATTGGCAGTATATTAGCATACACATGTCGAAATTGGTAACAATTTAAGTACGAATTGCACAGTCACGCTAGTCTATAATGACTCTCGAGTTACTACAATAATTCTTCACTATTTATCCTAACACTCAACCCAAAACTCAATTCAAGCTCAACTCAGAAACTGTCTCAAACTATCCTCCCCATATTTCCTCCCCACCATGCACACGCTTTCATGTCAAGGACCTAAAGCATTGCCCAGGATTTTCCTCAACATTCCTGGATTTTGCACCTTCCACCCTTGCTCCCTTTCTAACCTTCGTAAAGCTACGTGTACATGATAGAAAAGTACGATAAAGTACAAAAACATGGAAAATCTGTGTATAATCCAAATTTTGTGCTTCACAGGTGGTGCACAGTGTCCACGGTATAATGTTCAAAGATTTGAAGCAGATATTGAGAAAAGAGCAGTGCGACGCTTCGATTCTCTTAACAGCGAATATTCCATCAGCAAAGAGGATCGTCGTTCATGGTCCTCAAGATCCAGATGCCGGAGGAATCCCATCACAGTTTCCTGTGCAAGAAGACACGCAGTTCTGTCAGATACTGCGAGAATCCTTGGACTTCTTCGGCATCGAGGAGTCCAAGCAACGAGAGTACTTCCTCGTTGACTACAAAACACGTTTGTACTAATCACTTCCTTTTCGAATTATATTTTCTCTTCGTTTCTGTCAGAAGCTCTTTACAGTACTTCTTCTAGAATTTCTAAATTTTTGTCATTCAACATTTTCAACATTCAACATTTATCTGTCAGTTCTTCTGTTAATTATTCTTAGATCAACTAAATCTGGTTTATTTTCTGTCAATTTTGTATTTGATATCCAATTGAAATCCAATCGAGGATTTTAATGTAGTGCTAATTTTTAATTACACGAATTACGTATTATATACAACACTGATTACATGAAGAGTATCACTACAAGAGTATCACAAGAGTATTATTAGAATTAGAACTGTAGTAGTATAAAAATTAGAATTATAATAATATATATTATTATAGAATTATAATAGGTAGAATTATAATAATATAAAAATTGCAGAAATTATTTTAAAAACGTGGTGGTAAAAGAGATATTTGAAAATGTGGAAGAATTGGTAGGATTGTGTTTATACGATGACTATAATTCGTGTTCCAGATCAAATTCGCAATCCATCGTCGTACGTTCGAGATTACTACTTCTTTAAAGGTAGATCGCAATTTTCGGAGATCGAGTTGGTTCACATGAAACCGGAAGACGCGTTTAACGCTCTGCAACGGGAGGAATTGGTCCACAAGTTCGTCGAAATCGGGAAGGTGTTGCTAACTTGGGCGATCTTGAAGAATGTCGATATGGTAGTCCAAAGAGTAGTATTCCTGCACGAGGAGCTAATGAAACTGCCATCTTTTCCGAGAAGAGCTCTGGAAGCAGACTTGGACCTCTACAAAGGTGGTGAAATCGGTAGAGTAAGTAAAGATGGAATATAGATTGGTTTCTTGAAATAGTAAAGAATTAAATAATTTATTTTATTATTTTAATTACGACGTTTAATAATAATTTTAATTTAATTAATTATAAATTAATTACAATTTCAATTTTATTAATTATAAATTAGATACAATTTGAATTTTAATTCATTATAAATTAGTTATAATTTCAATTTTAATTCATTATAAATTAATTACAATTTCAATTTTTATTCATTATAAATTAGTTACAATTTTAATTTAATTAATTATATATTAGTTATAATTTGAATTTAATCAATTATAAATCATATGATATTGCTTGAATTAAACAGTAACTATGTATAAACAAATTATTCGATATACTGTGTGCATAATGAAACAAAAATGCAGTTTGCAACTGTCTTTTTGCACAGGAGCTTCTTGGTCTAGATGTGATGCACAAGTTTATGTGGGTCAAACTAATCGCGAGGATGTTCGAGGCGATGGCAGGCAATTTCGCATACTCAGGGGACATTCATCTGTTTCTAAACGTTTTAAACGGCGCGGTAATTCTGCACAGCGAGGATTCCTGCATTTTGCGCTACGTCGTGGCCACGTACATCAACGCAGCCCATAACTTCAAGAACATCTTTTCAACGAATGGCTATTTGCTAATTATGCCAACGTTGTTACAATTGTATTCCACTCATCAAACGAACAAATTAGTCACAACTACCGTGGAGTACGCTGTTAAACAATTCTATCTCATGAATAGAAAACCGTTCATACTGCAAATGTTTGGCAGCGTTTCCACCATATTGGACACGGATGAGACTAGTATTCATGGAGAAGCTCACAAGGTATTCCTTACGACTCCATTATACTATCCAATGTTATCCAGATCTTCCTCTTCATTTAAAAATTAATATATTTTTTAATTTATAATGAATATTTGAAATGAACGAATTTTTATATTCATAATAAGTATTTGAAACCAACGAATCTCTAAAATATATTTTTTCAAATTTATAATAAGTGTTTAAAATAAGGGAATTTATTTAAAATAATCGAATTTTTATATTTTTAATATGTATTTGAAACAAATGAATCTCTAAATTATATTTTTTAAATTTATAGTAACTATATAAGATAAGGAAATTTATTTAAAATGAACGAATTTTTATATTCATAATGAGATTTGAAACGAACGAATCTCTAAAATATATTTTTTAAATTTATAATAATTATTTAAAATAGGGGAACTTGTTTTAAATATATTTTACATTTAATTTGTATTTATGATAATTATTCAAAATAAGGGAATTTATTTAAAATAAACGAATTTTTACATTCATAACAAGTATTTAAAAGAGATAAATCTCTAAAATATCTTTTCTAAATTTAGAATAGCTATTTAAAATAAGGGAATTTGTTTTAAATATATTTTACATTTAATTTGTATTTATAATAACTATTTAAAATACGGGAATTTATTTAAAATAAACCAATTTTTATATTCCTAATGAGATTTGGAACAAATGAATCTGTAAAATATATTTTTTAAATTTATAAAAATTATTTAAAATATGGAAATTTGTTTTAAATATATTTTACATTTAATTTGTATTTATAATAACTATTTAAAATACGGAAATTTATTTAAATAGATTTCACATCTATTTTATATTCACTACAAGTATTAAAAATATTTTCCATTAGTAATATGAATAATCACGTTAGTAATAGTACAAGTAAATTAATAGTATACGTAGAAAGGAAACGATATAAATAAGAAATGCTGCTGTGCTACCCAAAAATACAATTTAAATCAATAATAAATAAATAATAAACAGTAATAAATTTGTTAAACTTTTAAACTCGTTTGAAGGTTCCTTCTACGTGTCTCTTCAACCTACTATTGAGCCTGGAAACACCATCACCGGACCCTCTAAACATAGACGAGTTGGTCAGAGAAGAAAAGCCCTTGAAAGCCATAGATTTCTGCTACCACGACGAGAACGAAATGGTCACTGTATTAGACTGCATATCCCTTTGTGTTATGGTGATAGCTTATGCTCCTGATTCCGTTCGAGGCCAGCAAATGCTGGTAAGCCAATCTGCACCAACCACCTTCAGTTTCCCCTAAATTTAACTAACACGTCTCTTTCAATTACCCAAATCATCCAAATTAAATAACAATTATCTAAACTAAATTACCTAAATAAAAGAAAATTTAAACAAATTGCAATCGTTCCTCTCACCAATGAAAGCAATCATATTCATCAACATAACAATAGCTGTTCCTCGTCACGTTCACGACTAATTGTCTTTAATCCACTTATACCTTCAGATCATATTAGAAGCGATATTGCCTTGTTACGTTCAACAAATACAGTCCCCGACCTACAACAAAGAAGGTAAAACCGAGAAAGAAATAATACACCAGCTGGCAGTGGCAGTGAAGACTTTGGTAAATAATTCTGAAGCACTTACCAAGTGAGCATCGTTGTTTGTCACTCTCTGATTCGCAATTTCGATATTCCTGGTGAATCGAACAAATTTTCTCAGATATTACAACGGGCCGCAGAAGTCGAGTCCAGAGCACAAGGGGTCCAGTCAGAGGAATTATGGCAAAGGCCCTTATTCGCCTGGGTTCGACTTCGAGGACGAGACTCATGCTACCAAGTACATGGAGCACTCCAAGGTTCGGACCTTCTACGACAGAGACAACGACGATGCCGAGAGCTGCCATAAGAATGAGTTTCGCCGACCACGAGATACTTTGTTGAACATGGTTGGCGATTTCGTGGCTCGTTGCACGGCTCGTTTGGTGGAACTGAACAAGAAATCTCAGGATGGGAAAACGATCGAGTTGTTAGACTCCAAGTGTCATATAGTGAGTACTTGAGTACTTGATTTATGCTTATGCAATGCACAGGGTGAGTCGTGTAAATTGATCGTGAAGAATAATTTCCAAGACAAGTGGTCTACATAAAATATTTTAAATAATGCTTGCCTGGTACTGAAAGACGCGTGTAAGAATTTTTTAAAATAATTTGTTTGTTCGGGATATATTAAGGTGAGCTTGAATTTTTTTAAATTATAGGCTGGTTACCGAAAGATTGAATGTTTCTTTAATTTTATAATATTTTGTTCGAAAATTTTGGGTGAGAAACGTGTGAAGAACATCCCTCAAATGACCACCATTTCTTACCCTTTCCACCCTTAAGCTTTTCAATGGCCACCCTATATTTAACTCGCCCTGTATAATGTTGCAGTCATATTATTTAATTAATAACAGAATTTTATATAATTTCAGATATTACAAATATATTTTTTAATACGGCTAACATTGTTTCTATATTATTTGTCGTACCTTTTTAATTTAATTAAATTTACTTAATTTAATTTTATTTTAATTTCAAATATTATTTTCAATACGCAACATTCATATAAATTATATTGAACAAAGAATCCATTCATCTACTTAAAAAGGGGAAATAGTGAAATTTGAAATTTTGCAAATTTCCTTTATTTGTCCTATTTATAAAAGTACGTTCATTAATAGCAATTAACGTGTATTATTTAATTTAATTCTTTCTTAATTTCCAATATTATTTTGAATACGCAACATTCGTGTAAATTAAATCGTTTCTGTCTACTTATTTAAAAAAAGACAGTAAAATTTGAAATTTTGCAAATTTTCTTTACTTGTCCCATTCATGAGAAAATGTTCATTAATAGCGATTAGCAGACATCGCGCATAGCCTGTTGAAGATATCTCCATACGATGCGAGCACGATGGGCTGTCGTGGTTTAAGAAGATACATGAACGACATACTGCCTTCGACCGATTGGTCCAGTGACGACATGAGGCCTGCGTTAACGAACATCTTAAGAAGGCTGGACAAAACGTTCAGTAAAATACATAAGAAAGCTTCCATCAGAAGAAACACCGACTGGACTGCTGCAAGCGATCTTTTGAAAGGCGTCTACGAAACACTGGCCAAATGCCCTTACATAGCACATTTCCAATACTTGAAAGCACTACTCACCACCTGCCAGGTATCCCCGCTAATTTACATTCCTACATTTTAATCTTTAAAATTCACAGAAAACGTGTAAATATCTAAACATCTTCTTCAACTTTCCTAAATTAATTTAATAATAACAATAATTATAAATTTAATAATAGTAATAATAAATTTTGTCAGAAAGGGGTACAATATTATTCACAAATTTTGAATATTTAACCCTTTGCACTCGAGGGATGACTCTCAGTCGCCATTTCTTTTAATTCTATAACCTAAATAATAAATGATAACTATATTAAAAATAATTACACGTGAAATATTGAAACAAAATATTTCCATTCGTCCATTTTTCATGCTTCCCTTCATTTATTTTAGCATTAACCCTTTACACTCCATTCTCGAGTGTGAGTCGATATCGGTTTTCACCACAGGAACGCCTATGTCGAGTTGTACTAGAAATTTTCCGATTTTTCTTCAAATGAGAAAACAGGAAATAAGCGAGAAAAATAATTCGGAGTGCAAAGGGTTAAAAGTGTCACCGAGATTATAAAAATGCAGGAAAAGCTTTGAGTTGCTATTGCTTACCACGAAAGAAATCCTCCAGTGCGAAGCAAAAAGTAAACCTTTCAATCAGATCCAAAAGATGAATTTGATATGTTAATTAACATATCAAATTTAAAATAATACGTTGGAACGTGGAATGTCGAAGTAAAATAATTCCACGACTCAATTTACGCTAATATAGGATTTCTTATTTACTGTTTTAAAAGTATCGTCAACTTTATGATATAATACCTTCGAATTGCTATTTTTCTCTAACGAAAAGACCTTCCAGTGCAAAGGGTGAAAATATACCAGTCGAAAATTATAAATATCGAGTACTAAATTTCCATCGAAATTAATTTGATATTTAATGGCCGAAAATTTTAATTAACGCGTGTATCTATACATCAAGGATAATTACGAAAATTATAAATATCGCATGCTAAATTTCCATCGAAATTAATTAGATATTAAATTGGTAGAAAATTTTAATTAACACGTATATCTGTACATCAAGGATAATTAAGAAAATTGTAAATATCGAATACTAAATTTCCATCGAAATTAATTGGATATTACGTTAAAAATGGCCGATGGTAAAAAATTTTAATTAACATGTACATTAATGATCTGTGCATTAACAATAATCACGAGAAATTTACAAAATTCGCTATAAGTTTACTCCAGCAAGAGGAGCGTGTCTTGAAGCAGGAGAAATTAAGCAACGCCATCATTAAAGCCTAATCAAATCGTAATTGAGTTATTTATGCCTCGCGTACTTGGATGTCGACGAGATAATAATAATGATACGCTAATAATTAGGCGTTTAACCTTTTATTAATTGGAGACTTTAATTTATCTATAGTCGTTAATCGTCGGAGATACCCCACCAGAGGATATGACATCAGCTTCCTCGGCCGCCTTAATGAGCAAAATACCTCCGCCACATTTTTGCTCCACGGTGCTCCGACTGATAGCGCTCTACGTCATATCTCTCGGAGAAGGATACTTACACGCAATGTTCGCCACTCAAACACGAACAGAGAACATGCTGCTGAACTTATTGATACCGTTGTTTCTACGCGTAGGAACTGGAAGAAAAGGTAAAACGAAAGTGACGTCATTCCCAAAATTTTCATTCCCAGAATTTCATTCCCAAAACTTTCATTCCCTAAAATTTCGTTCCCAAAACTTTCATTCGCAATATTTTCATTCCCAAAACTTTCATTCCCAAAACTTACTTTCATTCCCAAAACTTTTATTCCCAATATTTTCATTCCCAAAACTTTCATTCCCAAAACTTTCATTCCCAATATTTTCATTCCCAAAACTTTCATTCCCAAAACTTTCATTCCCAATATTTTCATTTCCCAAAACTTTTATTCTCAAAGCTTTCATTCCTAAAACTTTCGTTCCCAAAACTTTCGTTCCCAAAATTTCATTCCCAAAACTTTCATTCTCAATATTTTCATAAATATTTTGGAAATTCTCAACTATCTCAAGCCACTAGAGATCCTTTCCTCGTACGAAAGTCAATGAGAAGTAGAATATTATTATTTATAGATGAATTTATATAAATTATACAAAGATTCATGGTATTTATTAAGATCGATGAACATAATTGGTTCCATCTTTTCCAGATGTGCCGAAGCTAACACAATCGGATATAAATTTCGCGTTAACGACAGTTTTGAACACCTTGTGGCCACCATCCACGAAAACGGTCCCAATGACAGCGCAGAACTTGAAGACAACGACAGACATGAGAGCTGGTAGCTTGACATTCGTAGCGAGGGACTCGAAGACTTTGACCAAGACATCATTGACGTTGTATCAGGTTGCTTTTCTAGGTAAGCAATCGAGAGAGTGTGGAATTCAGTGACATTTTCAGCATTAACATGAAGCATTGTCTCATTTTAATTATGGAAAGATGGAAGATCGTGGCATCATGAAGATAGTCGCGATTAGGGTGCCATAATCTCTTGGGTTACAGAAGAACCGCTGCCAGTGCATCCCTAGACTACTCTTCGTTCGCAATCCACTCGATATACACGCCATCCATGTTGAAGAATTTTGTTCATACAGTCTTCCAAATCTTCAACAACATTTTCCCAAATTTTCAACCACATTCTCCCAAGTTTTCAACCAAGGTTTCCCAAATCTTCAACCACATTCTCTCAAATTTTCAACCACATTCTCCTAAATTTTCAACCACGTTCTTCCAAATCTTCAACCATATTCTCCCAAGTCTTCAACCAAGGTTTCCCAAATCTTCAACCACATCTTCCGAATTTTTCAACCACATTCTCTCAAATTTTCAACCACATTCTTCCAAATCTTCAACCACATTTTCCCAAGCCTTCAACTAAGGTTTCCCAAATCTTCAACCACATCTTCCGAATTTTTCAACCACATTCTCTCAAATTTTCAACCACATTCTTCCAAATCTTCAACCACAGTCTCCCAAATATTTAACGATAGCCTCCCAAATTTTCAACCACATTCTTCCAAATCTTCAACCACCAAGCCTTCAACTAAGGTTTCAGGTTTCCCAAATCTTCAACCACATCTTCCGAATTTTTCAACCACATTCTCTCAAATTTTCAACCACATTCTTCCAAATCTTCAACCACATTTTCCCAAGCCTTCAACTAAGGTTTCCTAAATCTTCAACCACGGTCTCCCAAATTTTCAACCACATTCTCTCAAATCTTCAACAATATTCTCTAAAATATTCAACCACATTCTCCCAACTCTTCAACCAAGGTTTCCCAAATCTTCAATTGCATTCTCCGAAATTTTCAACTAAAGTCTCCCAAATCTTCAACCACAGTCTCCCAAATTTTCAACCACATTTTTCCAAATCTTCCATCACGTTCTCCTTAAACCATTTCTCGCTGGCAATAAACACTATTTTAACCACCACCCATGTTGACAACTTTCATTCCCAGAATATTCGCTAATATCATAATATCGAAAAATTTATTTCAACGGATATCACGACTTCGACAACATCGATTTACCCTCTTTTTCGCAGCCCTGAAGATAATGACGATCTGTTTTGAAACGGAACTGAAGACCGAGTGGCCAAAGATCCTACGCACGATGCGGCTGCTGAACAAGCGGAACGAAGCCTCCACTCACCTGTGGAACTTCATAGAGTTCGTGGTGACACATCGCACGGCTTTGTACATTCAAATGCTTCCATTCATCGTGCACAAAATCGGCCAAGCCCCGATCTCGGAGCACGAGAGGAATATGCAGAGCATCATCAGAGCTAAGATCAACGGAGACACCAAAACGGTACCAAAATCACGCGGGACATTATTGGCGGACCTGATACACGAGCTGAAGAATCTGAAAGAGGAAATAGAAGACCGGAAGTTCGGTTAGTAAAATTTCACGATCACATTGAACCTCTTCGAATCCGTCTTCATGTTTGTCTCTCGAGTTAGAGATTTTCATCTGTACCGGTGCACGAGTGCTAACCCTTTGCACTCTAGAGATCATCTTCAGGTACCATTTGATAAAATTTCGAAGATTAACATATTAATTAACATATTAAATTCGAAATAATAAAATAGTGTGTGAATAGAAATTAAGTAATTCTACGTGTTAATTATTATTTATAATTGTAACCAATTTTTATTCACTGTTCCGAAAGATATTGTCGACTTCATAGCAGAATATTTTTGAATTTCTAGTCTTCTGTAGAAGAAGAAAAATCGTCCAGTGCAGAGGGTTAGAATTATATAGGGTGTCTCAGAATTCGTCCAAAATTAGAATTTTGCGTCATTTTCATTCAATAATAAAACATAAACGGTGCATGTTAAGGGATGCTCGAGTTCAAAAGAAATTTTTCGAATTTCATATATACAGGGTGTTTCAAAATTCACACAAGATTTGAATTTCGCGCTATTTTTATCCAATAACAGAAAATAAAATAGGAAATAATTCGAATTTTATATATATAATTGGATTGTCCCGAAATTTATGCAAGATTTGAATTTCGCGCCATTTTCATCTGATAACAGAAAATAAAATAGGAAGTAATTTGAATTTTATATATATATTTGGATTGTCTCAAAATTTATGCAAGATTTGAATTTTGCGCCATTTATACTGCAAAATATTGTTAACGAGAAAAAAATACAGGATGACAGCTGATAGTTTAGGGTAATTAAAAATGGAGTCCTACACGAGAGAACAACGCATCTTTATTGTTCAGTAATATTTATAATTTTTGATTAAAAACCTATTTTGTTTTCTATCGACTTTTCGCGTGAATTTTGGAACACCCGATACGTGGTTGCTTTTCTAAGTGCCAATTTCATTGCGATCGTAGACGAGGTACAAGCGGAACCAAAGAGGAGCGTGGTGGACATGCACTGCACCGAGGGACAACCTCGTACACAGAGGCTGTCGTTGATCGATCTTCTGACCGGGGATCTTGGAGCCAGGGGTCACATGAATCATCAGTCGAATTCGAGCAGTACCATCAAAACAACGCAACCGAGTCAAGTATCGGCGCCGCCAAATGGTATACAGACTGCGCGTGGTACGATCCTAATTACATTTTATACTAATCGCGTATAGTAAACGTCTGCGACATGTAGAACTTCGTTAAGCTTCAAGAGTTCACTTGGACATGAGATTTTCAATGATAACACTTATATGGAATTTAAATCCTGGTCTTTTAATACAGTGTAAAACCTCTCGAATCTGAAATAGTAGGCAGATATAAGAATAGATCTCGAAATTGAATTTCATTTATTCAAACGGAAATTTGAATTTTGGAATATTTAGTTGATAGAGGTGGATTTTATTTCTCTTAAAAGAAATTTAAATTTTTGACAGGGAGAATCTTCATAGATATGAGAAAAGATTGTACTTTTAGAATTTTTAGTTGATATAGATGGATTTTATTTCTCTGAGAAGAGACTTAAATTTTTGACAAGAAGCATCATAGATCTGAGAAAAGATTCGAATTCTTTACATAAAGAAAACAAAAGGATAGAAATTGTTCATATAATGAATTCCAAAATTAAATTTCATTTATTCGAATGGAAAGTCGAATTTTTTAATTTTTAGTTGATACAGATGGATCTTATTTCTCTGAAAGAAGACTTAAATTTTCAATAGAGAGAGGATTCGTAGATCTGAATAAAAGATTCGAATTTTTTACACGAAGGAAACAAGAAGATAAAAATTTATTCAAACAGAAATTTGAATTTTGGAATTTTTAGTTGATAGAGGTGGATTTTATTTCTCTTAAAAGAAATTTAAATTTTTGACAGGGAGAATCTTCATAGATATGAGAAAAGATTGTAATTTTAGAATTTTTAGTTGATATAGATGGATTTTATTTCTCTGAGAGACTTAAATTTTTGACAAGATGCATCATAGATCTGAGAAAAGATTCGAATTCTTTACATAAAGAAAACGAAAAGATAGAAATTGTTCATATAATGAATTCCAAAATTAAATTTCATTTATTCGAATGGAAAGTCGAATTTTTTAATTTTTAGTTGATACAGATGGATCTTATTTCTCTGAAAGAAGACTTAAATTTTCAATAGAGAGAGGCTTCGTAGATCTGAATAAAAGATTCGAATTTTTTACACGAAGGAAACAAAAAGATAAAAATTGTTCGAACAATAAATTTCAAAATTGTTGCGTCCCGAACCATTCAACTCTCACGTTCATAATTTCGCGGGGTTGTAAGGCCCATTACATGGAGACGACAATCTTGCAGAGATGCGACCTACTCTAAATTAATTGAGCTAGACCTGGTTAGGGTTGAACTAAAGAGTTCTGACGTGCGACTGTTTTCTAGTGCTGAGTTTCATCGAGGTGGCTTTATCTTGACTGCTTTAGCTTTCGAAGTAGAACTGTCACAGTGATGTCATTGTCGTTTAACCTATACATTTCCATTTCGTTTTCATTCTAATAGTACTCACTGCTAATTCCATACCAAATTGTTTTGTTAAAATGCATTCAATCGAACGTGAGGAATTATACCGAGCATTTGACAGTATAACATTAATATCTAAACGTTGACAGAAATTGGCACTATACTCCTAAACTTTCACGTAAAACACGATGTTCAAAAAGCAACTGCTTCACAAATTTACACAAACAGTCGCTGATTGAATATCCAATACTATGATTTAGCATATTTCTTCCATTTGTCAAAATTTACACATTTGACAATGTCCTAAGTTACATATTTCCCACATCTCGTGTCATCGTCTCCCTAACTCCATACCAAATTGTCCTGTTAAAATACATTCACAATCAACAATCCTAAAATGTTTCGTGTGTGAATTAGAATTTGGTACTAAGAAATTTATTCCAACGGATTTTGATTATTTTTAGGGAAATATTTAGGGAAATTTTTAGGGGAATTTTTAGTGGAAACTGTTACAGCTATTAATCCTAATTTTTAATAGGAATTATCAAAACTATCATAAACTGTGTGTCCAATTTTGTTGTTCTCCTAATAATTACAGAAATGAATTAATGCCTAAAAATATCCTACAGATATTTGCCACATCTCGTGTCATCGTCTCCCCTTATGTTCCAGGATCAAGCACCAGCGGTGGTTCCTCGACTCTCCGCGAGGCGTGCGATGGCGTGACCGAGCAGCAGCCAGAGCAGCAGCCACCAACAGGTATTTCATTTGCTCGAAACCTTATCTATCAGACCCGAGTTGAAAACATTAAACGGTGCGACTGCAAGCCTCTCATAAATGTTTCGCTGTTTCTCTGAGCGATTACGAGACGTCTACCACAGTTGGATCGAGCCATTGTCTATAGGGCACTGCGAGGAAATTTGCAAAGCTCTTGTGACACCTTGTTCTCTCGCTTCGTAATTAACGACGCATCATTTCATTCCCTGACAGCGAGGCTTGCGACGAGGCGTTCGAGTGTATTATCCTCCTCTCTCTCTCTCTCCCTCTCTCTCTGCGAATGCGAGATTTCTTTCCTTAGCCAAATCGAATCATAGTGCATATAGATATAGACGTACTCTCTCCATCACCGTAATCCTTAGTATTCGATCGTTCGGGCCTCCCTGTTTGGTCTTATATTGATCATTGCGTTGCTTCCATTGCTAGCTAGGGGACGGAGGTAAGCGGATACTAATAGTAAATTCTGCTACGATCTATGATAAACGTCCTGCTGGTGTGTTCCCTTGTCACGCTTCTCCACATTCTCGTAATTTCATCTGATCTTGCTCACTCTTTCTCCTCTTTCTATCTTCCTCTTGATCACGTCTGCTGCTACTGTTTCTCCTATGGTTCCCGTGAACAGAGATTCGACTAGACCTGTGTGTACGTGTGCACGTTGAGAAGAATCGTTTTCCGAATTTTCTTTCACCGTTCACGTTCCCGTGTACGTCAATGGACGATGCTGTTATCGGTGTTCCCCCGCTGAGGGAGACGAAATTTTCACCAAATTTCGTCGTGTAAATAGCTCCGACGTCACACGCCCCGGATAAGTGATCGTCAGCCGGGGGACTGCCCGTAGTCATTTAACCGGGGTATGTATGTGTTGCCCCTTTTATGTGTCGTATGATCATCTGTTTGTTCAATTTTGGAAACCAGTGCCGTAACAGGGTGAGTAGCGATTTGGGTATTATTATAACGAAATTGAAAATTGACAAATAAAAATTATGCGTTTTTTATATAGGCATTATACATAGGATTTAAGGGAAAGTGACCTGACTTAACACTTTACACTCGATAAATGACTCTCAATTACTCTCTCAATTTGTTTAATTCTACTATAATTATTATTAGTGTAAAAGGTGTCAACGAATTCATAAAAATGTAAGAAAAGCTTCGAATTGCAGTTTCCTTGCAACGAAAAAATCTTCGACTATAATTTAAGTAACAAATAAAATTCAATAATTATATTAAAAATAATTACACGTGAAATATTGAAATGAAGTAATGCTTTTCATTCTTTTCTCACGCATTTTCATGATTTTCTTTATTTCTTCTCTTTATTGTAGTTTAAGAGGTATCAACGAGCTTATGAAAATATAAGGAATGCTTCGAAGAAATAATCTTCGAGTGCAGAGTTAAGATAGATCTGAACTCGTTTTCGAGAAAATCTCTCTGATTGTGCGATTTAAAAAATAATTCTTTCGCAAAGATTAATCAAAAAATATCAAAATTTGAATTTACCCAGTGTCTTCGAAATTCATTGTTTCCATTTATCACCGAATTACTTGTACCAGCTTGAATCGTTACTCGCTGCTTGTTCGCATTGGATCCGTATAGAAACGTGAGAATGACTGCGCGAAATCTTTTAACCGGGGAAAGACGTAGTTAGTCTCTTATCCGGGGAGTACTATGTGTATCATGAAAAGTTTAAAAATCTCATTTTCACGGTACGTAAATTGTTTTGTTAAAATGCATTCAATCGAACGTGAGGAATTATACCGAGCATTTGACAGTATAACATTAATATCTAAACGTTGACAGAAATTGGCACTATACTCCTAAACTTTCACGTAAAACACGATGTTCAAAAAGCAACTGCTTCACAAATTTACACAAACAGTCGCTGATTGAATATCCAATACTATGATTTAGCATATTTCTTCCATTTGTCAAAATTTACACATTTGACAATGTCCTAAGTTACATATTTCCCACATCTCGTGTCATCGTCTCCCTAACTCCATACCAAATTGTCCTGTTAAAATACATTCACAATCAACAATCCTAAAATGTTTCGTGTGTGAATTAGAATTTGGTACTAAGAAATTTATTCCAACGGATTTTGATTATTTTTAGGGAAATATTTAGGGAAATTTTTAGGGGAATTTTTAGTGGAAACTGTTACAGCTATTAATCCTAATTTTTAATAGGAATTATCAAAACTATCATAAACTGTGTGTCCAATTTTGTTGTTCTCCTAATAATTACAGAAATGAATTAATGCCTAAAAATATCCTACAGATATTTGCCACATCTCGTGTCATCGTCTCCCCTTATGTTCCAGGATCAAGCACCAGCGGTGGTTCCTCGACTCTCCGCGAGGCGTGCGATGGCGTGACCGAGCAGCAGCCAGAGCAGCAGCCACCAACAGGTATTTCATTTGCTCGAAACCTTATCTATCAGACCCGAGTTGAAAACATTAAACGGTGCGACTGCAAGCCTCTCATAAATGTTTCGCTGTTTCTCTGAGCGATTACGAGACGTCTACCACAGTTGGATCGAGCCATTGTCTATAGGGCACTGCGAGGAAATTTGCAAAGCTCTTGTGACACCTTGTTCTCTCGCTTCGTAATTAACGACGCATCATTTCATTCCCTGACAGCGAGGCTTGCGACGAGGCGTTCGAGTGTATTATCCTCCTCTCTCTCTCTCTCCCTCTCTCTCTGCGAATGCGAGATTTCTTTCCTTAGCCAAATCGAATCATAGTGCATATAGATATAGACGTACTCTCTCCATCACCGTAATCCTTAGTATTCGATCGTTCGGGCCTCCCTGTTTGGTCTTATATTGATCATTGCGTTGCTTCCATTGCTAGCTAGGGGACGGAGGTAAGCGGATACTAATAGTAAATTCTGCTACGATCTATGATAAACGTCCTGCTGGTGTGTTCCCTTGTCACGCTTCTCCACATTCTCGTAATTTCATCTGATCTTGCTCACTCTTTCTCCTCTTTCTATCTTCCTCTTGATCACGTCTGCTGCTACTGTTTCTCCTATGGTTCCCGTGAACAGAGATTCGACTAGACCTGTGTGTACGTGTGCACGTTGAGAAGAATCGTTTTCCGAATTTTCTTTCACCGTTCACGTTCCCGTGTACGTCAATGGACGATGCTGTTATCGGTGTTCCCCCGCTGAGGGAGACGAAATTTTCACCAAATTTCGTCGTGTAAATAGCTCCGACGTCACACGCCCCGGATAAGTGATCGTCAGCCGGGGGACTGCCCGTAGTCATTTAACCGGGGTATGTATGTGTTGCCCCTTTTATGTGTCGTATGATCATCTGTTTGTTCAATTTTGGAAACCAGTGCCGTAACAGGGTGAGTAGCGATTTGGGTATTATTATAACGAAATTGAAAATTGACAAATAAAAATTATGCGTTTTTTATATAGGCATTATACATAGGATTTAAGGGAAAGTGACCTGACTTAACACTTTACACTCGATAAATGACTCTCAATTACTCTCTCAATTTGTTTAATTCTACTATAATTATTATTAGTGTAAAAGGTGTCAACGAATTCATAAAAATGTAAGAAAAGCTTCGAATTGCAGTTTCCTTGCAACGAAAAAATCTTCGACTATAATTTAAGTAACAAATAAAATTCAATAATTATATTAAAAATAATTACACGTGAAATATTGAAATGAAGTAATGCTTTTCATTCTTTTCTCACGCATTTTCATGATTTTCTTTATTTCTTCTCTTTATTGTAGTTTAAGAGGTATCAACGAGCTTATGAAAATATAAGGAATGCTTCGAAGAAATAATCTTCGAGTGCAGAGTTAAGATAGATCTGAACTCGTTTTCGAGAAAATCTCTCTGATTGTGCGATTTAAAAAATAATTCTTTCGCAAAGATTAATCAAAAAATATCAAAATTTGAATTTACCCAGTGTCTTCGAAATTCATTGTTTCCATTTATCACCGAATTACTTGTACCAGCTTGAATCGTTACTCGCTGCTTGTTCGCATTGGATCCGTATAGAAACGTGAGAATGACTGCGCGAAATCTTTTAACCGGGGAAAGACGTAGTTAGTCTCTTATCCGGGGAGTACTATGTGTATCATGAAAAGTTTAAAAATCTCATTTTCACGGTACGTTTCATTAGATAATTCTGTTATTATTGCTATTTTCCCTTTCGTTTTGTACACAGTCGTAATAAATAAATAAATAAATAAATATATATATATATATTTATACATATACATATAGCAGTATTTAGACAATGGTAATGTCCAACAGTTGGTATCCTGTTCATCGTTGCATAGCTGTACTTCACTATAACGTAGTTGCTTCGACTTTCTCTCTTGCTTTCCTTCTTTTACCTGATCACACGATTGTATCTTCAAAATTAATTCTCTCGCAACAAGTTGACACAGTATTCCTCGTTTATCAGACAAACGTATACATACATCTCTTATGTACGTGGGCGTGTACGTGTGCTTAAATATCTCTACACGAATTTCACGATTCTCCTAGATTTTTGGACACAATTTCTCACAGGTCTTCCATTATCGAAGCAACCTCGTAAAGAGTTAAATAAGACAACACGATTACATCATACTATTTCATATTTAACCCTCCCACGTATTTAACAGTTTCATTCATTTCAGATCTCCCACTGACCAAACCTTTTATACAGGTATCCCATTTTTGTGCAACATCACTGTAAATATTTCGAGAGATCGATATCGCGAGTAGAGGCAAATGCTTTTAGGGAGTTATGGCAGCTTAAAGCGAGATACCAACTAGATGCAAATGGAAGTTTACTTAGTAGAAGCTTCGAAGTCAAATTTTATATAAATGGTACATTCGTATTTCACACTCGAATTATTCGAAATGGTACTTTGTTTATTTAAGAAAATAATAATACACAGCAATTAATGGAATTTTCAATTGTCAATATACTCCTCTGCTTTGTTTTTAAAATTATTTCGAAATTTCTCATATATTTTTTTACATAATTCAGATAACTTTATTTATAATAAATCATTTATCAAAATTATTTCTCGTCGTTTGTGAACAACCATAAGTACTTGGTTCACTTTCTCTTTCGTTGCTGAATTATTTATAATACTAATATTTAGAATTAAATATTATTTAAAATGTACTATACACTATGTGAACAGGCATAAGTATATACTTGGTTCACCTTAACTCCTCTACTTAACTTGGAACAACACCATTAAACTCTTTCAACCCTCCAAAGCATTTTTCTTGTTCATTGTTGAATTATTTATAATTGGATATTATTTAAAATGTACCATGCACCATGTGAACAGACAAGTATATACTTGCTTCACCTTAACTCCTCTACTTAACTTGGAATAGCACTCTTAAGCTTCTTCAACCCCCTAAAGCATTTTTCCTGCCTCTTCTACTCTTCGAAATATTTGTGCCAGTAAACTAAAATGGGACACCGTCTGTGAAATAATAATTTAAATCGAAACAATGAAACTTTTCAAAATATCTTTCATTTATACATTTGTATAGCTTGTAACACCGAATTTGAACGATTGAACGGAATTCGAATCGTGGTAAATGGTATTTCGTCATAACAATAAACACCATCACCTGGTATGACTCATTTTGTCGTCTTTCCCTTCATTCTAGACGTTAAATGTGGCATGTTTCAGATAGATCCCAACCATCTTCTACTAGCGATGAACGTAACCATGTAAAGCCTCATCCTATATTAACTCATCAAAAGGCGCCAAAACTGCGCTTTCTCTGTTCCGTAGAGTTTAGGCACTCATCAGGTAAATTTCGAGCCCCTACTGTAAATAAAATAAGTTATAGTTGCAACCAGTCGCCGGTTATATTTTTCCAAGATGATATTCGCAATTTACGAGATAACGTAAACAAGATGATTATTATAAAAATGAACAATCCTAAAATGTTTCGTGAGTGAATTAAAATTTTGTACTAAGAAATTTATTCCAGCAGATTTTGATTATTTTTAGGGAAACTTTTAGGGAAATTTTTAGGGAAATTTTTAGGGGAATTTTTAGGGGAAACTGTTACAGCTATTAAGGCTAATTTTTAATAGGAATTATCAAAACTACCACAAACTGTGTGTCCAATTTTGTTGTTCTCTTAATAATTACAGAAACTAATTTGTATATACGTACATGTATATATTTACAACGTAGAAGTGTATAAATAAATAGCTTCAATTTTAACTATTATTTATGCTATTATTTGTTCAAATATGTGTTCTAAATTTGTATATTTTACTAAATATTCATAGTCATTTAATCCAAACGTAGAATATAGTGGATGAAGGGGTTACAATTACAGATGGTTCAAATAAATCTCTTTCATTCATCTCATTTGTCTATGTAAATATAACAAAACAGAAATGTCATCCAGTAACATTAGATTTTCGTATTCCATTGTATTCTTCATTGAAAATATGGGATATAAATTGTTAGCATGTTTAATTATTTCCTACCGTTGTGATCGTATATCACGTTTCATTTCATTTTCATTTACACGATATTTCTGTCAACTAATGATACAAGAAACACGTCCCATTAACCATATTTATGTTAATCGTATTTACCATCTCAGATGATAACGAACGCATAAGAGGTAGAAATATTTTATTTCAGAAGAATATCGTTGATATGGCTGATATTATAAATATGACAATAAGTAGTAATTTATTCACCTATATTTTTCCAAAATGAACATATTATTAAAAAATGTAGTTGGTAACCGTTTATTTTTCAGTAAAAATTATTTAATAATAGCCAAACGCATGGAAAGTGTTTATACAAAGATACAATTTATAACAGAATCATACTACTAGAGCCCTCTAGCAAAATTGAATTAGTACTACTAATGAAATGTTACAAATCGTTCGTTGTATCCTGTCGGTATAGAAGATCTCTTCAAAGTGATTAATATCGAAAGTATATTGGAGAATAATTAAAACATAAACGAGACAAGTAATGAATCTTTTTAGCTAAATCTTTCAAATACTTTTTATTGATCATAGTGTTAATCGGATATTCTATCACATCGCACACATCTACGATCAACGCCAAATTTCGAATCGATAATTTATTACCCGGTGACAGGTACTTTTATAGAGAAAACGATCGTTTTAACCTCGTTCGATTTCTATGTATAATAATGCCAAAAGTATCCCATTAATATCTCGAAAATTATTCATTTCCCCTAAAGAATATTTTACATTTAGTATCTACCAACCCCCTCCTCTTCGCCTCCAAATTTGGTATCAATCGGATATCTGTGCGATTTGGAAAAATATCCTGTTAATACTTTTAAAGGATATTATTTCTACCTCTAAATGTTTACACACGACTTTTCAGATAATAAAAATAGTTAAAATATTCACTATTATTTACTATTGAAAGAACACCCTATATATTCTTCAATCTGCACTGTACATTGTCCCTCTTCAATCTTCTTTTATTACCTTCTTTGTATAATTACCAAATGCTCGCTCTTCTACAGTCCTTCCAAGCTTATTTTTTCGAAGTGTAATAAGTAACACACACTTAATTATAAATATGTACAAATAGACTAAGCTTTTAACTATTTCGAATATTTCAAGCAAATTTTCTCTTTCTCTATCGAACACAGTTATGAGCATGACTATCAATAAATTTATTAAATATTTTATTCTTCTAAGAACAGCTTTTAAATCGAATGTATAGTGTAAATAATGCTGCGCTTGATCGTAATATTATTCACAACGCATCATATGAAAGCAGGAAAAAGACGAATAGTCGATATATTTATTACAATTATTTTACGTACAAACTGGATTTGTAAATACGTTATAGATTTTAATATTATTGATACTCTAAACCATAAATTAGATAAAAATTAATAATTGTTTAATTAATATTTATTCACAGTAGACATAGTGCAATGTTAACATAACCACACTTTACGAAACATAATCGTTACTAACGCTGCGGTTCGAGAAACACGTCGGGTTGCAATTTGTAGTTTTGGGAAAACAGCATGGATAGATTGTAGAATAGAGAGTAGTATTTCACGCGAAAAAGGATGTTAATCGCGCATTGTTTTGTCAGGGGAAACCGTGACAAGCCAACTCAGTCCAACCAGTCCAAACGAGGACAGTTCAGGCGAATCCCGCCCAGACAAACCTCGATTACAACGCTCTATGGGTCAAAGCAAGAAGACTTTTCGATTGCGAAAGAGTCGAAGAGCGCACGTAGAAGTAATAACATTAGCATACAATTTTATTAGTATCACGTTACAAATATAATCGAATTTTAATTAAATTTATTAATTTGAAATACGTGCATCGTATTACAGTCAGAATGACATGGAATTTATCTTTCAGACAGTGCCAGTGAAATCAGAACAAAGTAACATGTCACAGCCACAAACAACTCAACCATCGATTTTAACACCACCTACACCGGTGATGGAACCTTCAAGCTTCAGTATCCCCTCCGATTCGTCGTCTATTCGATCGAGAAGAAGTTCGTCTATTCGTCAATCGGACTGCGAAAAGGGTACTATTCTACCAAACGATCAACAACAGATGCACAGCAGCCTTCATCACCATCATCATCATCACCATCACCATCACCATCACCTTCATCTTCAAACTTCAGACATCTCATGGGACGAAGATACATCCAGTACGTCTGGTTATCGTGAGTCGTACAGTATGCAATTGGTGTCGCTAGAAAGCAGCAACAATAACACTCGTCCAATTCAAGTACCGCCTTTAGCATCGCCAGACTTGAACGACATGCCCTCTACTAGTAGCACTACGACTCACGTTTTCGAGGGAAGCTCGCCAGATTGCTCTATCAACGGAAGCGGAGGGGAGAATACTGCTTTATTGACGGCTAGTCAAAGAACGACTTCGCAACATTCTCTGCTGATGGTATTTCCGAATCAGGACGAGGATACGTTGATATAGATAATTAACCGATACATAGTCGACGTATACCACGACGAGACTGATTAAAGGTTGGTTGGTTGGATTATTTTATTTAAGCGGATGAGCAAAGCCCATTACGCTAAGTACAAAAACTTTTACATGTTTATAACATAGTTTATCACTTCACACCAGCAACTTTCCTTGTAACGAAAATAGAGTTTTCTGAACCAGCTATTTATTCTTTGGTATTATACATTCTGGTTATTACACGAATGGACAATATCCATCTTCTTCTTATTGCTACTTAAACATTACAGAAGAACAATACTCATGGAATGTTTCTAATTCTATCGATACACTCTCTAATTCTTTTTGTCCTCGCTCGTTCACTCTTTACAAACTAATTTAAATTGTAAGATGGTTTGTTATGCATCTACAGACCTCTCTTCGGCGGCTTGTTTCTAATTTCTATTGGCTTATTCACTTCTATCGTCGTACGTGTACATTTTTTTGATTGGCTGCATCTTCAGTGTGGCGCCCTCTATTTCATCTAGTTGCTTAGTTCTGTTTTCTATTCCCGCCAATTCCTGGGCGGCTAACGTGGCCCTCCCTTCATTCCTTTTTAATTCTCCTTGACCTCTTCAATTATTTTATTGATTTTCCCATTTTCTACGCAGACTTCTGGTATACCTAACAAATGTCATAACCATTCTTCAACAAAGCCTGGACTTCTCCGCCGATAAAACAGAAACGCTCATAAATTACATTACAGCAATACGTCCGCTAACTCTTCGACCGCTCATACCCGACTGATTAAAGCGTCAATAACCTCTAATTGCTAACGGGATCAGTACATATCTATGTGCTATCATTTGCCACTTGGACCGTTTTTATTTCGATTTATATCATTTTCTCAAGCATGTTAATAAGTAGAACCGTTAATAGGGAGAGAGTACTATTTTCTTGACGTAAGTAAAATGTGAACGACCGTGTGCTGTTGATTACAAAACAGTTACGTTAGCAGTTAAGGGTTCAACTGATACACGATAACGTAGAAAATTTTTCGTAATGTAGAACGACTATAAGTCAATGAGATGATCTATTACGGTGTTCAGAGTTTTCAATAATGTTCTCCGTTGACCGGAAAGACCAATTAAAAATACATATGTTGAGAGCCTAGCCTCGTGGTCGTGGAATATGTACTTTGTAATACTTCGACGAGCGTAGCGAAATTACGACCACGTGGACGATTAGGCCTAAATATTTGTATGTCACAATTCTCTGTAAAAACGAGTACATTTGAAATAAAAATACTTTACGAAAATCACTATGAATTTCTTCTCCATTCTCAATATAATCGCATAGAATTTTGATTTTCTATCATTTCTGTTATTAACAATTTCAATTCATTAATCTTGATCTTATTTTAGAGATAATTTTCATTTAAAGTCAGTCAAAGACTTTTAGATTTTCTAGTTAAAATTTAATACATAGATTGGTTTATTTTCATTATAGTATATCTTGTTTAGAAATTAAATTACAGGCGGCCCTCGATTTTCGCACATTTTTAAAAATTCAACTTTTTAATCCTCTGTGTTAGGATGTCCCCTCTCAGGGGACCAAGAAAAGAAAAAAAAGTTTAGTATTCAACTAACTCTTGACAAGTTTATAAAGGAAACACCCGAAAGTACTTAACACGCCTCTTTAACTTCATTATGTATACCATAATTCATTATTGATAAATAAATACTTCAAAACACAGGTTTTGGTGCATATTGTTTTACATCCCTCTACTTTCGAACATTCAACATTCGCACACACTTTCAGTAACCAATTATGTGCGAAAGTCGAGGGCCCACTGTATATAAATTTTAACATTATTTTGGTACTTTTTCAAATATTTTCCTTATAATATAATCATTCCAGATATTAATAATGTCATTTATGCCGTGGTAGATCGACGCTGATATCGGCAAGTACGTATGCTAGTGCTGCAAACAGTGCCGTTCCCTTGTCGAGTGCTTCCGGATCTTCAACTAACATAGTATCTGCATTTGAATGGTGATAATAAAAATATTTTTCGTTCTGATTCCAAAGAGAACCACCAGGTACACCTGCATCTACCCAAAGACTAATATCGGGACCTGCGTTCGGACTACGAACTTTCATATCTCCCATACGAGATAAGAGCCTAAAAATAAAACAAATTAAAAATTTGTATCTGATAATGTTCTATCTGTAATTGTGTTCTAGTGTAATTTTATTTTGCAAAACTAACTTAATAATTCTTTCTAAAATGCATTTCACTTCTTCTGTCCCAGTAAACTCTAGACCTAAAGGCATAAATGTTCCCATATCCGATTCCATAACGAACTGCAAATTCTTCTGTTCAGCTTTGTGAGACTGAATGTACTGTGAAGCTCCTATCATCCCCATTTCTTCGCCTGTCCACATGATCATCCTATAATTGTAATTATTTTTAACTTTAAAAACAAAATCAGTTTGTATAAATTTTTCTATTGTATTGTAAGTACAGATAATTATTATTCATTGTATTTTGAGTCACAAAGCATTTCACGACGTATATGCGTATATAAAATACGACGGCGTATATAAAATTTAACGAGTACTTTTAAAATAGAATATTAAATTTACTATTAATTCGGGAAACAATTTGATATTCACCTCACTGTTCGTCGAGATTTGTAGTTAAGATGTTTCAGTAATTTTAAAGCATGCCATGAAATAAACGCTCCACCTCCGTCATCCATTGCGCCCTGACCAACGTCCCAACTATCAATATGACCAGATACAACAACAACTTTCTCTGGCATCGCAGTACCTTTCAGTTCAGCTACTACATTTCGCGATGTTTTCATTGGTAAATTTTTCGCTTGCATTTTCAAAAGTATCTCTATTTCGTTACCTGAAGAAATAAATTACAGATGTTATCAATGTTGTACCATTTCTACGACATGTTTACCTCTATCTGACATTCTTCTTAACAAAGTAGCATCTTCAGCAGTAATACAAGCTACAGGAATTTTAGTCACATTTTCGCCATATGTTTGCATACCAGTATGCGGAGTATATAACGAATATGGCGTAACTGACCTAATTAAGGCTGCAACAGCCCCATATTTTGATGCACTTCTTGCTCCATGGGATCGATATTCTACCGTTTCACCATATGAAACATATTTCTCATTATATACAACGATCTTTCCTCGTACCTGAAAGGGCCAAAAAGAATAGTGAAAATCATTCTAAAAATGCAAAGTATAATTTATAAATAAAAAAAAAATATTTAATATAAAAAGGTACTGAATACTTCATCTTTTCGATCGTCGAGTTCTTTGAAACTGTTCACTACTATGGCCTTGGCTGTGATTCCTTCAGGCGGAGTACCCACGCTATAACCTAATCCCAAGATGCTAATACTTTTACGCCTCGGTTTTAACAGCGTCGCTGACTCTTTACCTCTGAAAAATAAATATTTTGACCATTTGAATTCATAGAAGAGATAAAAGAATATAAAATTCATGGTAAAGGTAAAAACAAAGTAAATTAAAGTAAAATACAATATACAAAATATCTTGCTTAATATTTTTAAAAATATTTCTACTATATTTACAATTTCATAGCATTTAATACATGATATGAAAAAAAAAACAAATAAAATTTGGTGGAATAAAACCATAAATTAAAATGGTTACGAAATTTCAAATTTTTTAATAAAATTAAATGAAATATTCTGTATAAGTGTTTTAATAATACATATATGATTTATCGATGTCTTCCGTGACCCCCACATCAGTACCCCAAAACTATATTCCAATACATCGATAAACTAATTTGAACATTATACAAAATAAATGATCACTTAATTATTTAATAATTATCAAATTTTACCTAACCCAATGTGGCACGACAACAGATTCACCATGAACGTTATCTAATCCATACTTGATCGATCTATTCAACACATAGTCGATGGAATGCTCTAGCACATCACTGCCAGTTAATCTTGGACCAAATTTGTCAACAAAGTAAGCTAATTCCTTCCATGTAGTGCCTTTGAAGCTACCTGATATAGTTTCGTTTATTATGACGCTAACCAACGGAGCATACGAATCGATTTCTTGTATAAGGCTTGGTGATAAGTAGCATGTATTTACATCGTTCACTTCTTCACTGTCCACTACTATTGCAAACTGTATCTTCAAAAGCCACGTGACGATAAGAAATTTCATGAACAATGACATACTTGCATTGAGCATTTCCATTGAAAACGTTTTATCTTCTGAAATTAATATTTGACGAGATTTCACTGTTTGATATGTTCTTGAAGTGCATTTATATATTCAATATGTGTATATGTATTTATTTAATAAATTTTAACGTTATAAAATAGAGTGAAAATTGCATGGTTGATTCTATTATTATGACACTGTATCCCTTAAGAATGAAAACATTTATTTTCACTGCTGTATTGTTGCTGGATTCTAAGATTAGTTCATGTGGTTTTGAATGGTGCAGGAAAATAGTTTGATTGTTGTGTGTATTAACTAAATAAGCAGTGTATTCCATTGATATTGCACAAAACTGATATTTACCACTTGTAGTTTAACTTTATTAAATAATAAAACAAATGTACAAATGTGAATAAAAATAAAAATCTACAAAAACAAAATTAAATAATATACATGGCTACAATGGCACGTCGCAACATCTCGATTCGCTGGTTAACTAACGTGTATCAGACTATAGACTTAATATATATATATAATGCTATGGAAGGGGAACGAAAGTTACGTCTTCGGGAGATTCCTTATAATACTGTTAAAATAAATTTTGCACTTTACGATAACTTCATGATATATCTGTACTATATATTTATTAATTAAAACACAAGTTTATCATCTGCAATCCATTCTAAAAACATTTGCATTTGAATGCTTAACATGAAATTATTATTCGTCTGCAATAAAGCACGGAAGAAATATACGACTTGTTCGTGGTAATATAGCAGATAAAATAATGTTAATACCTTCAAATAGTCAAGTAGAATTTTTGCATGGTTACAGTATATACGATAATTGGTAAGACAATAATTTCGTACTTCTGTACCTGCAGTCGGTAATAAACTATTCTTGTTTATCTACTGTAATCAATATAAATTACATTTAATTTACATATTGAAGTAACTTAAATAAAATAAATTAATTATTTTTAATTCCCTTCAAACCAGAAGTAATTTTTGTATGTTCCTATATTGCACTAATAAATTAAAAAACATAATATAAATATGTAATACAATAATTAATATTTATATAATATAAATATAAACAAAATAAAAGAAATTTTCTGCTATGAAATTTTATAAAAATTTTAAGACATGTCCACTGGCTAAATACTAAAAATTAATATGTAATTTCAACATTATTCAATGTTACTATTAAATTATAATAAACGACCGGAAATTTTTAACGAGAATGATGTAGAAAGTTCACTAAAAAAATTCCTAACATCAGAATCGAAACAGAACAGAAAAATAAGGGAAGAAAACTCTAGAAAAATAGCACGTGTACCGCCTCTTATTAATTCCGTACACACCGCGATGATAAAATATATCTTTCCTCTAACGTGATTCGCTTAATACTGTACACATCATACCACACCAGTAAAACATTTAATCACGACGACATTGCTTCTTCTCAACATATTACGATGAAAACAAGTGTACGAGTTCATAAGCAACTCTATAGATAATTCTCAAAAAATTAAAACTCATCAACGTAAAAACAACGCAAAGAATGAAGCGAATATTTGAATTGACAGTGATTGAACATTCATGAATAATGCATCAGGGTATTTTCGGCGCAATATAACCTATTATTTATTTCTTCGAATGTATCACTTAATTTATTATTACACGTTTATTGTTTGGTTTACCAAACCATTGAAACCAATTACTCAACCTATCACTACACTCTTATAATTTATCACCTGTCTCATTACTATATTTAAACAACATGTTACTCAACCTAATAAAAACAATCCATCTTTACGTCACGGAACTATTGAATGTCGTAAACGATGTCCAGTCTCGCACATGATCGAGATCTTCGAGATCACGAAACCTTGACGTGACGTCAAAAGTTGAACTCAATTATTTGTAATTATAACAACGTGTCAATTGACACGTCAATCGCAATAGAGGTTTACTTAGCAGGAAAAAATCTTTTAATATTCGTTGTAGGCTGCTTGATCGGCTGAAAACGAAAACTGGATTACCACCGTACCGACCGACCTTGTTACTTCCTGGGAAACGTGTCAGTGCCATTCTTTCACAAGGTTTCGATTTTTAACGCTGAATTTCGCTGACTGTCGTATTCAACCACGTGGCTTTCTATATCACTTGTGGAAAATATCAACAACATCCTGCACAGTATTTCAGATATCTTCGAGTAAATAAAGATAAAAGTAGGAAATCACAATACGTTGAGAAAAATAATAAATATAAAATGAAGTGAAATGAAATTTTGTAATATTTTTTGTATATCATTAATAGGTTAGGAAAATGTTCTTACATCGTTTCGTAACCATCCTCTGTCTTCTTTGTTCGGCCAATAAACGCATTAAAAAGGATTTCTTAAAATTAAACATGTAGACATTACAATGCAGTTGTTTATCCGATGATTCTCGTGTCTGATAAAGCCATTCTCGTCTCGATCGCTCAATTAATCTCTGTCAGAAAATTCATGCTTGTGTTGCAAATTAATGTGTCAAGAAGCAAAACACAGCAGCTTACGAACTCTAGTTTCTTTCCAACTTACTGGAGTTACCTAATCGGTTGGTAAAAACGCTCAATCTTTTCGATGGTCAGATCGTTATCATTAGTGCTTTAGACACTGTACAGATGGTAACTGTGGAAAACAAAACAAAAATAAAAGTACTGCTTACGAAAATATGGGTAGAAAAACAGCGGTATTATGAATCTACATTGAGGTAAAGCTAATCCATAATTAACTTCTGACTTGCAAAATAATATTTATGTCAATTTGCACTTACCCTAGCTTATGATTAATACTTTATCGACCGAGTGTTTTTTAATATTAACCGTAAGTCGTTATCAGAGGCATTCTTAGAAAATAAAGAACACATTGGGCATTTTATGCGACTCGTGTACTCAAAATTAATCGAGATACAACTGTACTACAAATATTAAATATTCATATTGATATATCGAGTATTACACTACGTATATTACTATTGATATACAGTAAATGTATTATAAATTAATATTCTTGTACACTATCTGCGAAGATTAAAATACTTTCAGTGGTCACACACTGCAATATAATCATTTCAAATAGGGCGCCAATTGCTATTTCCTGTAGACAATTAAGACGCCAATTGACTTATGTATATACGCAGTCAATAAAGCATTAACATTCTTCCGTCCAAAACTGTTGATAGAAGTGAAACTTATAGTATTTTTATAAAACAATTAGCTAATTAAGCATATTTACTAATTACGTAAAGTATTGCGTCTTTAACCTATAATTTAATTGTTGTACAGTTATTTCATTTGTAACTTTTTTTTTTTTTTGCAACTATTAATTCAGATTCCTGTAATTTATTACATTATTCCATATTTTCTTCTTTAAATTCTGTTTTTCAAATTTTCTGACTTACAATAAATTATGCTTGATTTTTATCCTAGATATTTTTCTTCCTAAAAATCAAGTCTACCTTTGTAAATATTATTCGTCAGCAAACTATGAACCTTGCTCAAAGTCTGTGTCACCTCTTCAAATATCCTGTTCCCGGTTACATAAACGTTCGTAAATGTGTAATAAACGATATTTTCTATTTCATTCCCGATTTAAGAATAAACACAAGATTACATATATTTAAAAGACGTTTTTTAAAAAAAGGCTACTAATTTTTCCACGAATTTATTTTTCACTGCCACATCATGGACACGAACGTAAATGTAAATATAAATAGACCTTTATCTACGCAAACAAAAGATTGAACAAGAATTTACGAAAAGAAATTAATTAACGTTTTTTGAGAGTTTTTTAAGTCCACTTACAGCACAATTTATAAGATATTGCAAAAAGAAAGGTGACAGTGCATCGCAGACTCGAAGTTGCGTCATTGAAATTTCAAATTCGTAATTTGCAACTCGTTTTTTCGAACTCGAACATAAATTCGATGCGTTATGAAATACATCTGTCTCCTCTTTGTATTTGTAATACTTTTTTATCAATATAATCACCATTTATTTCCCGAAAATAGTTCATTTGTTTTTCAAAACCCCACAACTTGCCCAATTTTCCATACATTTTTTAAAATATATTTTTTGAAACGAAATCCCAGCGTAAAGTATTTAATTTTCAGAAAATTTTTCATTTTTCAGATTCCGCTGATTTTTACACACACTGCACGACACATCAACATCATCTGAAAGGATGATAAAAACCTACTCTCAGCTGTCACATTGTCTTTTCTTTCGTTGCTAACACTTTATCGTACAAATAGCACGAAATTTAAATGTTGCGTGAATTTTCGAACACCCTGTATATAGAATTCTGAAAATTTCGTTCGAACGCGAGCATCCCGGAATATACATCGGCAATCTCCTGTCATCGAATGAAAGTGGCGCGAAATTCAAATCTTGCGGGAATTTTGGGACACCCTGTAAATAAAATTCGGAAAACTTCGTCCGAATTCGAGCATCTCCGGGCATGCGTCGAAAATCTTCGGTCATCAGACGACAGCAACAGACGAACGATAAAGCCTGCATCGCGTTATCGTGACTGAACTTGACTCATCGAGCAAGATTTCCGCGGCCATTTCACTGCGACCAAGGTCGCGCGTGCAATTTACATCGTCTGAAAGCACGCTAATCGCATTAGAGCCTTTCGATCGGGTCCCATTTCCTTGACTAGCCGTATACAGCAGGCGAATCGTGATTCCCGCGCGTTTACCTTTTTCGATTCGCGTTCTCTGGAACCCAAGCTCGCGTGCAACGTCCATCGTTGCAGACCGGAAGTGCACTCGGTCGGCCCGATACCAGCCGTGTTGACGAAATTGCGGTCGAACCGACGCGGTTTTAATTTGCTGAAACAACGTTTACACGTGCACGTTACGAGCTCAAACAGACGTGACGGAAGCGACGCTGTTTTATGTTCTCTGTAAAAAAAATTCATTAAGGCAAGGCTATGTGTAGAAGAAAGGAGAGACGCGGGGCTCACACATGAATATAGCACTTTTTTGTAAGTCTGAGGTTTCGATGAAGTTCACTGTTTTTGTGTCTTATTCCCCAGTTCTTATCTTGAGAAATGATCTTGTAAGAGACGGTATTCATATCGTTTA